CATCAAAGTTAAATCAAACGATTGAAAAAAAAAACTGAATTAAGCAAAGCAAAACGTAAAATGAGAACATATAATAAAAGAACAAACAATAAATCAAAACAAACTTCATCGCAGTCGTCGAACCGAAGAACGGTTCACGTTTATAATTGGCCGCCGCTTGAGTGTATGGCATTTCAGGTTCAAGATTATCCCAGAATATATCACGTGATAATTTTGGTGATTTACGATGCATTTGATCAACTATCACATAGCTCACTTGTACATTACGATCTACTAACCCTGTAAATTAGGACGACAATCAACGTAACGTGAACAGTAAGAGATGATGAGAGATCAGCAACCTGTTCAGTTATCAGAAACAGTGTACTGATAGCAACAATTGTAATATGACAATAACAAACGCATCAAATAATCAATATCACTAACAATTCATATCGAAGTCGTCGTCATCCTCTCCAAAAGGACAGATCATTGATTCAGCGACTTTCAGCCAACCAACATAGAATAGAAATTGGAATATGGTAAATATGGGCAAGTAATAATCAACCCCTAGACTATTATCTGCTTCTGAGTTTTGCAGCAAGTATTGACGTCCAAACAAGCATGACCCGAAAAAACTATACACTGCTATTGTTACAACCTACAATAATTCATTTGATCATTTCTTATTCTATTTTTGTGTGATGCGATAACCACAGTGCACGATCAAAACATTCGTTGTATTACATCTTCGAGATCATTGTTTCAAAAAAACAAACAATGGAAACAGAAACTAAGTTAGTTGAAAATGAATTGTAATTTCTAGCTCTCAGTTGGAGAAGAGGGCGTTTCACTTTCACATACCTGTGTGTAGACTAAAGGAACAGATATCCAATCATATGACCAAATCTGCCCACACTGACCACGATATACCATGAGATCCTATTCATAATGAAAATATGATGAATTATTGTAAATGATAAACCGGCTACACTCAACTATTCAATGTAGCCGGATGAGGTCAATCTGTTACTCAAGCAGTTCGTAAGTTTGAACAACGAAAACAAATATACAAAAAATTGAACTGTGTGACAAAACTTATAGAGTCGAATTGCATGAGAGAGAAACAAAATGAAACCAACTGATGCAAAAATTCAAAAATTACATCGATTAACGTCTTGAGATGCAAATCGTCGAAAATTCGACCTTCCTTCCTAGCAATCATGGCCAACTGCGCGAACCACTGAGCCGGTATCCACCTATATCATGAAAAATCAATGACGACTGGATATCTGAGGTACGTAGCAGCAAATGGCAAGAGAATAACAATATGACAGTTTTTCGATAAGAAAATAATAATTCACTACCAAACATAATTCTGCAAAATTCGAGAACAATGAAAGAACAGAGCAATGATAATTTTAGTGACAAACCAAATTCCGTGTGGCGTTGATATTGCTTCGAGATCGGAACGTTCATCTGGAGTCAATAAGCCCGCATCAACCAAATGATCGACTGTTGGAAATCGTTTTTTGATTACTGTCGATGTGCTCTGCAACAACATTAACTGATCGATCCAGCATCATCAATAGCAAGCATCACGAACTAAAGATCACAAGAAGCTACAAACCGCTGCTAGGAGGTGAATTTAAAACAAACAGTACTTGAAGTCAAACAAACAGTAAGCCTAGGCGCACTCCGATGTCCTAAATACTAGATCTTACGCCCAGGCATAATCATCAGCAAGCTGCAACAAAGCGTAAAGCGTATAAGCGGAATAAAATCATGACGATACCGAAGTTCGGTTCGTTGATCTGCATTACACAAATCGTTCGGATGATCAAATCACCCCTGCATTACACAAACGGTACAGCAATTCTTTGAAATGGTACGAGAAATATCACAAATAAATTTCACTGCAAATTCGCCTGTCAGTATCTCATTCACCGCTGATGTTCACTGCAAATGAGGTCACCTGGAACGTGAGAACGGCCAGCAGATTCAGATAACGTACTAACGCACGACGTATCAAACGACCACGTTCGTCCACACCTTGCACGTATGCAGAAATTTCCATCGCGAGTCTGAGAACACATTTCACATTGAATTCAGTCTAGAAACACCTCATTTAACTTTACCTAAAACACACTCAATCAGCCATTACGTAGCTAACTGAGAAGTTTTAGCCATGGAATTATAATTAATATGAAAACTGAATGAATGCAGATGGCAAATAAATTCTTGAATCAATTTATTCTCACAGCTGGAAGAAGTGAATGCAGAACTGATATCATGTATCATGATCAATGATCGAAATTGTAGTTGATGAATTGAAAAATATCGTAAAAATAACTACGTATTGCATCAAAAGTGTGTTGATGTTACACTACTTATTGCATTTGAATGTCCAATAATATACACTATTATGAATGATTAATTAAC